GTCTATTTCTTGGTATAAAGAAGGACTAACTAATCCGAAGGAACAAAAATGCATGTTGTTTTGCTGCTTGCTGCTGATAGTACAGTATGATGTTCGTCCCAAAATATAGTATATGAACCTAATCTCTGTTAGCAGCAGAGCACATACTTCTAAATTGTTTTGATGTCTGAACATAAGATACTTTTGGTATGATCATTGGTATATTATATAAATTGTTCTCTTCATGGTGTGATCATCATCTATTCTTGATTCTTGTTCTTGATTATCTAAATACACATAGTGCAGTCTGTACATAACGAAAATATAGCTAAATCTGCATTTTGTCTTCATTTTCTAGAGGCTAGCTTCGTCGCCTCACAGCTGCGGCAAGACCCTGAATTGGGCAGCATCGTGAAGCACAAGGTAGATTAATTCTCTTGTTTTAATATTCTCCTTATTCATATTACTGTAGATTATTATTGCTTGGTCAATAGATCTGTGCTACAAACTGTTCTTTTTTGGTAAGCTGAGAGCTATGTTAATAGCTGACATTACTAGACATTGTAGTTGTTGAAGAATTTGAGCTCATTCATATACTCATGTCATTGTTTATGTTTGTTTACTCTTTTAGTTTGAAATCTTATATTTGATTGTCACTTTAACTTGTAGGCCAAACTGCTGAAGGGACATATAACTTCACCTCTATCGAGTCATCACATTGCTCAACCCAACCACATCTCGAGAATCTTGGAGGAGCTGGCGAGAATCAAGGAGAAACATCAGTTGATGGTGAGAATCTTGGAGGAGAAAGGGTGCAGATTGATGAAGATGTTGAGGAGGTGTACGTGCAAGAAAACATTGATGTGGAGCCCCAGCAAACTCAACCAAATTTGGCTACTGCACCCTCAAGAAATGGAGAAGAGAAAGAACCAAAGAGATGGAGGGGAGCGAATGGTGATGTGGCTGCAATGATGGAGAAGTACTTGGAAATAAGGGCGAAGCAGGTGGAGGATGAGAGGAATAAGCCAAGGGTTGTGGATGAGTACTCTATCAAAAACTGCATCGATCTGCTGAAAACAATGGACATCACACCTGAGGAAGAAGTCAAGGCTTTTCGAGTCTTCAAGATCCCCGAGAACCGAGAGATTTTCATGAGTGCCAGACCAGAGACTACTCTTATGTGGCTGAGAGATGAAAAGGAATAAGTCAGGTACTCAAATTCTGCTTCTATTTAATATGCCCGTTGCTAGCATGTAGTTTTGATGTACAACCTTGGTTTTCATGGTACCCCTACTGGGACTCGCATGTTCATCTAGCTCACATGAACCTGCCTTGTTCATATAGTAACCTGAAGCTGATGGTTCAACTAGCTCACATCAAAAGGTCCATTTCTTATTCTGGTTGTTGATGATAATAAAACAAAGTTCTATAACTACTGCAACTTGTTAACTATTCTTCCTTTTAACTATGGTTGTTGATGCCTCTCATCGTGCCGATGCTGTTTGATAACTAAGCAAAGACTCCAATTTTCTGTGCCTGGATCAATGCATGTGTTTTAAGTTTTTACCATATAGTTGTGATCTGTTTGGTGCATATGGATACGATGTTGTTGTCCATTTGATCTTTTTTTTGCTAGCTGGTCAACATATATCTTGTCAGTATTTCTTTGCTCACTTGCCAAAAGTAAGACATCTCATTTATTTCTTTGTTCATGTATACCGCTCTCATATTAGTCCTTTGATATGGACTAACTGCCTTTATTGCCAATGCAGTGCATCAGTCACTACAGAAGCGACATCGGCAAGATAAATTATGTAACATCTGTATTATGTCTTGCATGATTTTGCAGAGATGCTAAACCATATTCTGAAAGTGACCGATTCCAGTTTGGGACAACTGAGAATTTTTAGAATTATTTTGCTGTCTATTTGAGATAAATTATGTAACATCTGTATTATATCTTCACCGATTTTACTGTTTATTTGAGATAGATAAATTATGTAACATCCGTATATCTTGTACAGTTTCTTCTCTTATGTTCTGTCATATTTTTGTACTGCAAAAAAACGTGTAGGTTGTGTGGTCTTTTAATTCTATGGAATAGTGTTGTCTTTGTGTATGGATTAGCAGGGGAGCAACCGAACAGGTTATGCACACAAAGATTTCATATGGATGGGGAATAGTGGGGGTTGGGTGACAGGGCGGGGATCATCAAATCCCTGGGAGGTTAGAAACCACACGTGGATTCTACCATGAGGCAACCGAACAAAGCCTTAATTAATCTGTGACTGCAGTAGCCCTAAAAAACTGTATTTCGATTGCGCCGGAGCCGCCCTTCACCCCAGCTGGTTCCTGATTCCTGAAGTACCCCTAAAGAAAAAACTGGCTCCAGAAGTCCTGATCTCCTGCTACCTACCAAAATTACAATAATCGTAGACGTACGGGCTCACTAGAGGACTTTTACGGAGGAGATCGCTGTTCCTAAATTTTTACCGTGCGGCTCATCCCCTTAAGAGCATCTTTAGCCGACCCCGTATCCCGTCGGTCTGTAAAACGCGTTTGCAATATACGAAGAAACAACTTTATGGATGACGCGGATGGCCGCAGATGCAGATCCCACATAACTGACCGTAAAAAAGATATTCATGGAATATGCTCTTTTACGGGTCGACTTTGCGGGGTCTGGTCAAGCGCCGCTCCTCCCTGTCAGGAAAATCTGAATTGGCACCTCAATTTAATCCAACATAATGCATTTCTTTATTTTTTTCAACAACATTGAATACAGGAACATGATGCATTTCTTTGTTTTTTCACCAAATCTTTGCTAGAATAGCAAGACAAAGAAAACAAGAACCACAAATATGCATTTTAGAAGATTTCCAACTTTCATAACTGCTCCCAGTAGTTGGACAAATATCTTCTCCATGCATTCATTGTTGATCTGTGGATTCTTGATTTTACATTCTTCTTTCTTCATTTTTCGTTCGAAAGAAGTAGACGTTGTTTCCCCTCTAGTTGCATATGCGGCCGCAACATTGCCTTCGATTCTACTAAGGAGTGCACGAACGTCTATTAATTTTTTTCTATCAATAAATTAATGTATTTTCCTTCCCAAAACCAAAATGAGCATCCATCTTCCTACACACATGAATGAGCATGTTCGAAATAAGCTACCGCAATTGAACCAAAGAATGAGCTATCAAAATGAGCCGAATGAAAACCGCACGTACCCCATCGTTTTCGCATTTGAAGAACACCCATTTGGAGTGCTTCGGCATGCCCGAAGTTAGCCGCAGCACTGTCCGCGTGCAGTCGTCGCACTGTATGAGCGGCATCGGTGAGCCACAGAGCCGCTGCGCGAGCGCCGAACCCGGTGGACGGCCGGCCGAATCCATGCCCGCAAACCGGCGGCGGCGGCGGGAGGACGAACCCGTACCTGCATGCGGCGATGCGACCTTGCCGGGGCTGCGCGAGATGCTCCCCGACCACCCCATTGCTTGGCGCAGCCACCGGCGACCAAAAATGCCAAATCCGGGCGTCCGCGATGAAGGGCCGCAGATCCGCAACTTTCTGGGCCGCCGACGCAGGAGGGGGGAGGGCCACCTCATGCGTGTGGCAGCCTTTCGGCGTGCTCCCGCCGGCTACTTTCGCCGGAATTTTGGGCGGCGGCCCGGCGGTGGGGCGAGAGGAAGAGGGGAGGTGGTTAGTGGGGAAAAGCGCGTGCTGAAATGTCCTCCCCACCAACCACTCCCGCTATATGCAGGGCACCGACGGGGCGGGGAAAGGGCAAATCTGTATATTCGCGGGTTGGGGTCAAGTTTTTGCCGCGCCCCTCACATTTTTTTGCGGGCCGGCTGTGTTTGTGGGGTCTGTTTGAAAGGGATTTTTTGTACCGGCCCGTATTTTGACAGTTATTTTACGGTTCGGGGCTTTTTGTAGGGTCTGCTAGAGTTGCTCTAACATCCGGTGATATCCGGCTCCGCGACGACGACGTGCATTCGATCTCGTTCTCTGGCCACTAATTAGGCAATGTCAACTTTAACTCTATCTATTTACTGAGCATTAGTGCTAGTAAATATTTCCCAATTTTGACCTTGCGTGTCAAAAATATTAGTCAGGTTTAGCTTCTTTAGATTGTCTGACATGTGATGCTAATTCAGAGACTTCTAGTTTAGCAGCTTCAACAGAAAAGCGTCGCCAAACAACATATAGATGGATTTATTTTTTAAGCACGTTACTTTGAATTCTCGATGTAAGATGGGAGATGAGAAAGAAAATTAGCAGCTACGATCCCTTTTGATGAAATAAAAGTCCTCGTATGAAAATTAGCAGCTACAAATTTAATGGGTTTTTTCTTATAGTTTTGCTAAGTCTCAGTCGACTTAGACTTCATTATGTCTCAGTCGATGTTGTATTCTATTGATCTTGCATTGAGATTCGTACAAAAAATTCTTTTCAGTTTTTTCTTTTTTCTTTCCATATACACTATCACTTGTTAAGTCTCAGTCGACTAACACAGAGACACACCCTTTTTCTTAATGTGAAACGGAATATAGGAGTAATGTTTTGGGCACTGGATCTTTTTACTAGCTCGGCCCCCCTGCATCCAATCCCTGGTCCGCCCCTGTTTCGAGCATGGTGTCTGCGTTTGCAGCAACGCGCAGAGGGCGGGCGGCTTGCGGCAACTAGCCTTGCAGCGCTCGCCGTCGTTGTGTTCATGGAGGCCGGCCGCCGGCGAGAGATCGGAGAGCTGCGGCGCGGCGGAGCCTGCGATGCGCGCGCGGAGAGACAGAGAGCGAGAGAGATGTTTTTGGCGGGCAAAGCTATCCACCAGAGCCTGTGGACGAATGGATAAGGTTGGTCAGTGGGTCGTGGCGGGCGTGCGTGGCCAACAGCAAAAGGGGGCGCGCTCGTGTGCGACCCACCCGACCGATCCCGCGCGCACGTAGCCGGCCGCCGATTCCCACCTCCTTCCTTGCGGATAAGCCTCTGCCGCCGCCGGCCTAGCGGCACAGCCCACGATGGCCACTCCGAGAGCAGCCACGGCGGCGTGGACCAACGAGGAGGACAAGGCGTTCGAGAACGCGGTGGCATCCGGTGCACCGCCGCCGCTGGACGGCGTGCCGGAGGAGGACTGGTTCGCGGCGCTCGCGGCGAGCGTGCCGGCGCGGTCGACGGAGGAGGTGCGGCGCCACTACGAGGCCCTGGTGGAGGACGTCGGCGCGATCGACGCCGGCCGCGTCCCCCTCCCGCGCTACGCCGGGGAGGACTCCACCCCTGCCGCCGCAGCGGCGCCTAGCAAGGACCGGCGCGAGGATCGGAAGAGCTTCGACTCCGACTCCGGCAAGGGCTGCTCCAAGGCCGAGCAGGAGCGGCGCAAGGGCATCCCGTGGACGGAGGAGGAGCACAGGTACGTACTATATATACAAGAAAGAAAGCTCGGATCGGATCTCCCATGGAAAACAGAGGAAGCTCTGCATCTTCTTGATGATCGGGGTGCGTGGCGTGGCGTGCAGGCTGTTCTTGCTGGGGCTGGACAAGTTCGGCAAGGGCGACTGGCGGAGCATCTCGCGCAACTTCGTCATCTCCCGGACGCCCACGCAGGTGGCCAGCCACGCGCAGAAGTACTTCATCCGCCTCAACTCCATGAACCGGGACCGCCGCCGCTCCAGCATCCACGACATCACCAGCATCAACAACGCCGCCCAGGCCGTGCCGCCCATCACCGGCCAGGCCCCCGCCGCGCTAGGGGGGCCGCCCGGGGGCATGATGAAGCATCCCGGGATGGTCGGCATGTACGGAGGGGCGCCCATGGGCCACCCGGTCGCGGGCCACATGGTCCCCGCCGCCGTCGGCACGCCGGTCATGTTCCCGCCGGGGCCGGGCCACCCGCCCTACGCCATGCCCGTCGGCTACCCGGCGCCGCATCAGTGAGCATGCCATGCTTGCTCTGGTTCGTGCGCGCGCGGGGCACGCCGGCATGCATGTCAGGCGCCTCGATGAACCGCACAAGCATTTCTTCCTTGTTCTTTCTTGATTGATTCATTTTGCGTCGCCGTCCGTTCCTCATCCTCATCTGATTGCAGGGATGGGCGGCGAATAAGTAAGTATTTGCTGACTGTTGCAAGTGCTAGCTTATACTCCTATATGATCACAGACCCGGGAAAGGTTGAGAGAGGTAAATGTAATTAGCTGCGGCCTCCCGATGTGTAGCTGTTCATGCTTGTAGAGCTGCGACTGGAGACTGATTTCCATTTACCGGATGTAAATTACTTGTATCTTTATACTTTGACGTGAATAAATTACACATGCATCAATGCATGTCTCTGCTCGTATAAGCATGCACCTTAATTTCACTGTAACAGCAAGGAACGAACTAATCATCTCTGAATGCTTTCTTTTGCCCCCAAACCTGGCCGTACCGAGACATGAACCATTCTATATCTATATATATCTATGTCTATATCTATACCTAATATTAAAGGACGGATTGTTTCTCCACTATTTTTGGTCCATCAATGTTTTTCGTACGTTTTTTTGTGTTTTATCTGTCGCTATTTTACGTTAAAAATAAATAATAAAAAAGCTCTGAAACGGACTCGAACCCATGCCAATTATGTCCGGCCGCAATGCAATAACCAAAGTGTTTGTAAAAAAAACAGAGGAAAATCCTTATATATACATCACTCCCTCGCGCCCTATAGGGCCAGCCCATTAGCGGGGAGGGACTCCTCTTTTTCTTATTTCATTTTTTTATTTTTTATTTTTTTCCTTATTTAAAATAATTTGGGATTTCAAAAGAAAATGTGAATATTGAAAAATGTTTTAGAAGCCGTGCACCCTATTAGGCTAGCCCATGATCGGGGAGGGACGCCACTGTTTTCTTATTTCGTTTTTCTTTTTCTTCTTTCAATAATTTGGGATTTCAGAAAAGTGCCAAATTAAAAAATGTTAAATTTGAAAAATGTTTCAGAAGTAGTAAAATGTTTATTAATTTAGAAAAAATGTTCACAAAAATGAAAAATTATCGTGAATTTCAAAAAAGTTTCTATTTCTATATTAAATGAATATGAAAGGAATGGATACGTCTAGATACCTCTAGATACGTCTAGGTACATATACTAATTATTAAATGAATATTAAAGGAAGGAAGGATTCTTCCGTCCAATAATAGTTTCGGCCGTCATCTATCTACCAATGTACCACAAACCTTTTATGTTTCTCCGACACATGGGCTGAGCTAGGCTGCTCCACACTTTTTTCTTTCTTCGATTCAATTCTGGAGTAGCAAAAAATAATATGTTTCTAATTCTCCCCTATGTCGGCCAAGATGGGCCTATTCCGAAACCTTTTTTTCTTTCTTCTCATTTGATTGTGGCATGGAGGCGAGAATGAAACTATGAAGCCGAAAACTGATTTGTGATCATTTTGCAAAGACGGTATGATTGAAAGCATAATTGTTGTTCATCTTGAGAATAATTGTCGTGGATCATAAATTAAAAAATTGTTTATATTTTAGTCTATGCTAGGGAAGTTAAATTTTCTCCCGTTGCAACCGCACAGGCATTTTTGCTAATATTATTTAAAGTACTTCCTCCGTAAACTAATATAAGAGCGTTTAGAACATCCCTCTGTAAACTAATATAAGAGCGTTTAGATCACTAAATTAATATTCTAAACGCTCTTATAGTGATCTAAACATTCTTATATTAGTTTACAGAGGGAGTACTTATTACTTATCGGAGAAATGGATGTATCTAGACGTATTTTAGTTCTAGATATATTCATTTTTATTTATTTATGTGACCATTTTTTTGGCACCAGCCCTCCAAAAAAATGACCATGAAAAAAATACACACAAAATGTATAAGGAAAAATACCTACAAGAAATTTGCCATGGTCGGAACCCTACAAAAAGAACATCTGCTATGGTCAACTACGGAAGGAAATTCCAATGGGAAATTGCCATTGTCCATTACAACAGGAATAAAACACCTACACGACAAATTTGCGTATTAATCTACAAAAAGAAAAAGCCTACAAGAAATTACCATGGAAGACATTTTCAAGTTGTAGCTAAGACTGATGCAAAGTTGATATCCTATAAAATAATGAAATTGCCATGTTTTAATTAATAAAATTGCCATGCCATAAATAGTAAAATGACCATGATCCAAAATAATAAATTTGACATGCCATAAATAATAAATTGCCATGATGTATAAAATAAACTGCCACATATCCAGCATTTTATATAGAAAGATAACATGTAAAAAAAGAGGACAATAATTAAATAAATAGTTAATGTATCATAAGATCGGGAATTTCATAAAAGAATGAATAACATAAATTATTCTTAAAAAGACAATAGAAAAGCAAAAACATAAAAGTACCTAAAAAATCATGGCAACAGTGTGTAAAAAATTATCCTCAAAATAAGATAACATGGTAAAATACAAAAAATATATTCTACAACATGGTTAATTTAGAAAAGTTTGTCGTGCTCACATGGAAAATTGTTGAATATAATTGATTTCTAAATATCTAGGGAATTTTAGGAAATTATAAGTTGTGCCTAATGACTGCTAACAATCATTTGAATTTGCCCAAATTAGTATTGACCATGCTTTCCTATGTCCAAAGTTGCCACCACAAATCAAACAAAAAATGTCAATAGTTCAAGTCCTAGACTTGACATTGGTGCTCGCATTATTCCTGGATTTATTTCAGGCTTCCCGCGATGTTCGTTCAGTGGAAGGAGACCTTCCCGTCAACTGGGAGGCGCATGTTTTTGACTTTGTAAAATTTCAAGATGCTATGTCGGCTCGGGCTTCTCGGAGATGCTCATAGGGGTAGGGTGTGCATGTGTGCGTGTGTTCATAGGGGTGAATGTATGCTCGTGTATGTGAGCGGCTTTGATTGTACTGTGTTAAAAAAAACTGTCATGTTCGATATCACCCAAAAATTTGCAAAGATCTAAACAGACTAAACTAAACTACTTTGTGTGATGTGATGCAAAAAAGTAGCAATGGTGTAAACAATGAATCTGTCATGTTCTATAACACAAAGGACAAAAAACAATTGCCATAATATATGCTATGAAAAACTTTGCCATCATGTATGCAATGAAACTACCATGATTTGTATCACCAAACATATTGCAATGATCATGCATCATTGCAATTGTACATATATCATGACACCAAAGCTTATATAATGGTAATTTTGTAACTAAAATTCAAAATTTTGTCATGTGACCATTACAATTTTTATTAAAAAATCATGTTGTAGAGAACAAACTTTCCTACATTTTCCATGTGACAATGACAAAATTTCCCTTGATTGCCATGATTTGGAACACAAGATTTCATAAGTTTGCCATGTGAATTCATTTTTTTTGTGAATTTGCCATGTTACCACCACAAAATCATCATCAAAATAATTGTCTTGTTGCAGAGAGCAACATTCCTACAACAATGTTCTGACATTTCCATGTGACCATTAATATATTCCCCTCAAATTTGGCAATGTTTAGGAAAAAATGGATCCACATATTCCATTAGCATGTACGTAAGACTATAATTATGCCATGGTGTACAAAAACAATTTTTTTACAATTCTCATGTCACTAGTAGAAAACATTTTCAAACTTTGCATACAAATAGTACATTTGCCATGTGACCATTACAAGCTTTACTGTAAATATGTGACACGATTTATGACACATAATTTTCTAAATTTGCAATGTACCTGAGTAATATTTTTACAAATTTGACATTTTGTACAGAACAAAAAATCATAAAAAAATGCCACGTGACCAGTAGATAGCATGTTCAAAATTTAGCATGTTTTATTGGCAAAAAATCCAGCATTTGCCATGTGAGCATTACAAGCTTTACTGTAAACATGTGACATGATTTATGACACATAATTTTCTAAATTTGCAGTGTATCTGAGCAATATTTTTACAAATTTGACATTTTGTATGAAACAAAAATTCATAAAAAAGTACCACATGACCAGTACATACATGTTCAAAATGTAGCATGTTTTAGAGGCAAAAAATCCTGCATTTGCCATGTGACCATTACAAGCTTTACTGTAAATATGTGACATGATTTATGACACATAATTTTCTAAATTTGCAATGTATCTGAGCAATATTTTTTACAAATTTGACATTTTGTATGAAACAAAAATTCATAAAAAAGTGCAACGTGACCAGTAGATAGCATGTTCAAAATTTAGCATGTCTTACAGGCAAAAAATCCAGCATTTGCCATGTGACCATTACAAGCTTTACTGTAAATATGTGACATGATTTATGACACATAATTTTTTTAATTTGGAATGTATCTGAGCAATATTTTTACAAATTTGACATTTTGTAGAAAACAAAAAATCATAAAAAAGTGCCACATGACCAGTAGATAGCATGTTGAGGCAAAAAATCCAGCATTTTCCATATGACCATTACAAGCTTTACTATAAATATGTGACATGATTTATGACACATAATTTTTCTAAATTTGGAATGTATCTAAGCAATATTTTTACAAATTTGACATTTTGTACAAAACAAAAATTCATAAAAAAGTGCCACATGACCAGTAGATAGGATGTTCAAAATGTAGCATGTTGAGGCAAAAATTCCAGCATTTGCCATGTGACGATTACAAGCTTTACTGTAAATATGTGACATGATTTATGACACATAATTTTCTAAATTTGCAATGTATCTGAGCAATATTTTTACAAATTTGACATTTTATATAAAACAAAAATACATAAAAAAGTGCCACGCGACCAGTAGATAGCATGTTCAAAATTTAGCATGTTGAGGCAAAAAATCCAACATTTGCCATGTGACCATTACAAGCTTTAATGTAAATATGTGACATGACTTATGACACATAATTTTCTAAATTTGCAAT